GTAGGCATTGCAAAGTGTTGCAGATGCGATATTGCATGGAGACGGCTTTGTTGTCCGATATCGTATCGTGCTGATCGCCCTCACATACTTGAGGGTACCATGGTCGCGTATTATCGGAAGCGACGCGCTTGGTATGCGTTGAATGCAGCTAGCGCAAACATAGGGCGTCCTCTGTAGGTGCCGGACGAGGTGCATGGTGTGAAGGTCCTTGCATCTGATAGCGGCGATCGCCGCACGAAGAACTTCGAGATGACTAAGGTCTACCAACTCGGACGCTCAATGGCATCCATCCTAGAATCTGTTCAACGCCGCGACCATCAGATCTTCATTGGAATCCTAATAAGCGAAAGGAAGCCCGATTCAATGCGTCTTGTTTACCATGATATGATCATGGTCTTGTTGAGCCTCCTCCGCCCAACGTGCCGCTCAAACGACCGACAAAGCAAACCTGACCATGATTCCCTGCTGCAACTCATTGGGCCCCCACATGTTCCTGGCTAATACAGGTTTCAGCCGCTCGTGGCTGCGACTAGTCAATGCCTAAACCCATCCCATCCGTGCTTCCTCACGTCATGAGCCGTTCTGGATCTACATTGGTCGATATTGATTGTTGTCATGACAACCCCATATTTACATACATATCACCCCAGGTCCCCGCGTGGGCCCATGTCAGCTATCAACCAGCATTTGCATCTCTTTGCTCATAAGCGAGAAGACGTCTCTCACCTTCTGTTGTGACGGTCGTGTGCAGCAGAACTTCCTTCCTTCGTTACTTCTCGCTCTTCATCGCAACAATGGCAGGCCGCTGGCAGCCCCATATGTACGCAGCGTCGAGGGATTCCATGATTGACACCGACCCCACCCGGTCGACGTTCAATCCAAAGGCCGTTACCATGGCTAGTCGCATGCCTCCTCCACCACCGAAGAAGAAGCAGGAAGGTCCTTACATCGACTTCAACAAACACCCGGACAGCTACCTCATACTTCCGTATGGTAACACACACGCGAAGGAAATGAGCCCGAAGACGAAAATCTTCATCGACATTGCGCGATGGATCCAGTTTAGTCTGAAGATTTTGACTCTGCTTGGCGCAATTGGCATCATGCTGTGCGGTATCTTCATTCGAGGAGCGCAAGATACAGAAGGCTACATTTTGAGGATACCGGTATGTACAACTCGGTCAATGCTGAAGCATGTCGCTAACAGAAGCAGCCTGGTGTGGACCTCATCGTTTGTCTATACGCGATATACCATCTAGTCCGCAATCCCAAGACGCGACCAGCTGGAAGCTCCGCCAGCTACCACTTCTTTGCTCTCGTCACCGATGCCGGCTTTATCCCGTTCTACGTCTTCACCGTCCTCATGGCTCGTCGCAACTCCGATATGCAAGCTGGAACAGTTGGGCGGTGGCGCACCATGTTCCCTACAGACAATGAGACGAACATAGTCCTGTTGACAACATGGATCACCGCAATTGCTACCGGCGGACTCCACGTCATCTCAACCATCATTGATCTGTACTTGGCTATCCTCTTCAGGAAGATATCAAAGCTGCCGCCGGACATGAACCCGCTTGAGGACAACCTGACTTCGCGCAGGAAGACCAAGCACAAGCATAAGAACTCCTCGATATCAGTCATCACACCTCTTACGTCGGACCAGGAGAAGAGATTCAGCGACCAGAGTACCATTGCTGGAGATCACCGCGATTCGAAGACTCCCTCGTACATCTACAGCGATGTCCCAAGTCCCACCAAGAACCAGGTCGCATTCATGCACACGCGAACAGACTCGGAAACCACGTATTCGCCTCACACACCTGCTTCAGCTCGCCAATCCAGGGAGCGCTTCTCCATGTACTCTCAGCCTCCCTCTGCATACCAGTCTCGTAAAGAACTCAATCACCGTGACGATCTGCTCAACGACGAGGAAGACAATCAGACACTGGCCCAACGCAAGTCGATGCTCTCTCAGCAAGCAAACATCAAACGACACTCGCGTGCTGGATCTCATGTTACCTCCTCGTCCTCGAAGGAATCGTTCCACACTCCTCTCGCAACCGCACGCTCTTCCAAACAAGAAGCGACGGGTGATCTCTCTCTCCAGCGCAACTCCCAACAAAGCCTCAAGAATGACAACTGGTTCGTGCATCCTGACGAGGAAGATGAACACCACGACCACTACCCAGCGCCCAAGCAGACAATGTTCCCCTCAAACGCGAACAACGGCTACAACACTGTCTCACCCTACGACGACGTCTCCGACTACGAAGAAGACCCCGAGGCACCCGAACCTCTACGCATGAACCCGCTCAGCCAGAACCCGCCATCTCCTCCCGCCACAGCCACCTTCTACGACCACCACCAAGCCACCTCCCCTCCCCCATCCGGACTCCAGCGCACCAAGACCACAACCTCCATCTCCACCGAAAAGACGTTCGACCGCTCGCACTCCCGCTCCGGCACACCCAAGTCGCGGTACTACGGCAACCTCAAAGCCGCCACCGAAGGCGTGCGCAGCGCCTCCAATTCTCCCTCCCCCACAAAGGGTTCCTTCCGCCAACAGCCCAACCACTTCCCCAGCGCAACAAAGCAATACGCCGTCAACACTCCTCCACCCGTCCCCACGCACAACAACGCAACCAACTCGCCCTTCACGCTGCACAAGAAGAGCTACACCAGCATCAAGCGCACAGGCGAGGCGAACTACACACCCGTCAAGGGCCAATCGCCGCGCGTCGTCAGCCGCTCCGGTGTCGATTACATCAACCCGTATGAGTTTGACGAGTCGGATCTGGGTACGCCGGGTCGCAGGAGAGATGTTAGTGGTAAAGTTGCAGAGGAAGGCAGGGGTGGTGGGTGGAGTGGGATGACGCAGAGGAAGGTTAGTGGTATTGCTTATTAGGGTTTGTGTTCTTTTCTACTAGGGAGGCGTTTGATGGAGGTCTAGGTTCAAAGTTTTTTCTTGTGACGATGTTCTATACACATGATATGGGTTGTCCATTTTTCTCTGGTGGGAATTGGGATTGGGAAGGGACTTGGGGATTAGCATGACTACATAGTACGTTCTGGATGACTGGGAATGACGATATAGGATCTGTCTGCTGCCTGAAAACGAGTTGTATCCTCCTGCTGGTATTTTGTTTTGATGTGTCTCTACAAATATGATACGGATTTGCGCGACTCTCCCTACTATAGCAAAGCATGAAGCGCAGCTCTTCAGGCTGTAGTATCAACATCATACTCGACATCCGTCCTAATAACATACTTCGCACCCTCAACGACCCCCGTGCCCTCGTGTAGGAGAGCACCTTGCGCCTCGCCGTGCGGAAACACCGCGACACTGCCCATGATAGGCTTGACTGGGTAAGCATTGATAACGCCCTCCTTGACACTAGGAACAAAGAAGGTCGTCTCACCACCCTTGAACTCGTCGTTCAGGTAAATGAGGAAGGTGAAGAGAGAGGACTGGCGCGCGTCGGCTGGCGATGCATCGTATTTGTAGGCATCGGTGACTGGATCGATACCTGAGGGTGGCCAAGCGCCATCTGCCAGAGTTAGCACACGTACCATCTGGTTTATTTAGAATCCACGAACCGATATGCATACGATACTCAGCACCAGGCACGTATCTGTACACTCTAAAGCGTCGGTTGATACCGCGTACTTTCTTGCCAGCTACGCTTTCTGGTACGAAGTCCTTTACTCTGTCCCAGAGCTTGTCGTGGAATGCTTGGTCGACGATCCAGTAGAAGTTGTGGGCTAGCACACTAGTGTCTTCGCCTTGAGGACGCATCGGTGCATCGGGGATGAACTCTATAGTTTCTCCGGCTGCGATGATGGCGGAGCATTCCTCTGGAGAAAGTACGTCCTTGATCAGTCGAAGGTTGGGTACGATCGGGTGCTTGAAGCATTCTGTCTTGGGTCCTTTGCCGAGCAGGACGGCGTCGTCCTGGGAAGCGTAGAGGATTGCGGGATGGAGATTCGGTGGTTTGCGCTGTAGACCGGCAGTGGTCTCGATTATGCGGAAGCGGTCCTTGAGGTCTGGGGGACATGATGTGAAAATGCTCTTGTCCTCGACGCTTTGCCGAACTTGACGAGTGGGCTTGCTGGTGCTGCGTAGGTCCCAGGTATCTTGCAATGAGATACCTGATGCGATATCTATGCCGTGAGCTGTGGTATCCGTCGGACCGGTGACTCTTAGTATTGAATCCAGTACCCCGATCAGTTCGTCGTTTTGCGCATTTGTACCAACCACTGTATGGCTAGGAACCTGCACGTGAATCGACAGACCGGAGACTACGTCCAGAGTACGCACCCAGCGACAAAGAGCACCTAGTGTTGGGGTGTCTTTTCTGATGCGCATCTCTGCCAACAGGACGAGGGCTTCTGTGTACTTGGCGTCTGTAAGCGCACCTGATATGCGCGCAGTGAGGTTACTGCCATCTACCCTTACACTTAGCTTTCGACGTTGGAATCCAAGATATCAGACATACCAGCCGAGTTTAAGCCGGTAGTACATGCTTGACGGAAGTCGTATACAGCAGTCCTCAGGTCTTTGCACGCTTTGGACTTGATCAATAGTGGATGTGCGGATAGCGTTTGTAGTGTCTCAATCGCGACCTCGATCTCTTCCGATGAGATCACCGAATGTACGCTCGCGGGTTCGAGTGGATTCGCATCTTGTGGCGGGCTTGGAATGCTGTTCGGGTACTGCTTCTTTGCAGCCTGCAGTTGCGCATTCGCGCTGCGTTTCCGCTTGGCCATACTCGGTGATCAATTTTCCAGACGTGCAATTGGAAACCGGGGTAGTATCCGCCAAAGATGTGTCAGCGATTACCGTGACGGATGTGAAGTAGTCCGTCCTGTACGTGCATGCCGAGGTTTACGGCGGCGGACGTAGAAATTTTGTGGTCCGTGCACTGGACTAGGCGGGGCAACGTTGTGCATTGCTAGTGCGGAAAGGCCCGCTCTCCGGTCTCACCACCTCAGGATACATGCAGACGCGTTACACTTACATGTCTGAGCCTCAGACTCGAGATCCTCTACGTTCAGCACAGACCTCGTTCGCTCGATGTCCGACCCGAGAGTCCTGAGCTCATTCGCTGTAAAATAACTATGTATATTTCGATTGCCTACTGTATCCACAGTAGCGCAGTGGACTAGAAGCCCTGAGCCCACACACTCGGCAGTTCAACGGCGCTATGCAGTCTACGGGGTCTGAGACACGATTAACGGAACGGATTTAACGACACTGGGCCGACGTACGTGTTATGCGCGGATCGAGGGGTACATTCCAGAATCCTGAGTACCCCCAAGTATATAGATAACTCGGGCGATCGCCCTTTTCTTTTTCTCGCACACCTATACAAATTTTCGCTCAATACACTTGCATACATTCTTACTCCAACACATACCCCCACTTCGACATACGTACTCACCAAAATGGCTTCCACCTCCTTCTACCAGGCCACTGTGCCCACCTTCAAGGGCATCGCCAACAGCGCCGTTAGCTTCCTCACAGCAGCCAAGGAAGAGCAGTCAAAAAACAGCTCGCTGCCCTCTGGCCAAGAGCTTCTCAACGCCCAGCTCGGCGACATGCTTCCCCTCCGCATGCAACCCATCCTCGTCTCCAAGTTCCCGCTCGATGGCCTCACGACCCTGAAGATCGCTGGATCGGCCCCCCTGCCTAACCTGGACCCCTCTTCTTTCCAGTCCATCGACGACGTCATCAACTTCTTCAAGCAGTTTGCTGCTGTCTTTGACGCCGTTGATGAGAAGACTTACAACGAGAGTGCCGAGAAGAGCCTCGATGTGACTGTTGCGGGCAAGACTATGACTATGACTAGCTTAGCCGAGTACTACAACAGCTTCGCCATTCCCAACAGTTAGTATTACCCTTGATGAAACTGCATGTGAGATGTAGGCTGATTACTTACACTGCTGTTTAGGCTACTTCCACCTCAACGCTATGTACATGCTATTGAGGAGTAAGGGATTCACCCTTGGCAAGGGCATCTACGTCAAGCCTTTCTTCACCGAGCAGGCAAAGAAGGACTGGGCCCCGTTGATGGGTTAGAAAGCGCAACATGTTGAGCTGCGCGGTGTCTATTTAGCGAGAAGACTAGATGATCAATAGTACTCATTGGATAGAAATGAAACAAATGACATCACATCAATCTAGTCGACAGAGTACAACCAGACCTGTCTGCACCTATTGGTTCTCTTGCTCGTATGGAGGTGAGTGTCTAGTAGATGAGTGGGTGTACAGAACAGAAGACATTGCCAGAATGCCCATCAGCCTGCAGTGCTGATGTTGATTGTTTTTTTCCCAATTACTTTACTTGTCGAAAGCATCTCTCAGCTTCTCAAAGTGCGCACTCATCTCCTCCCCAAGTTTCCCTTCAACATCTGCCAAAATCGTACATACTAAGCTGTAGTTGTTGCATAGGAACCTTTCCCTCTTCCTTGCATCGCTAATACCCTTGCTCAGCTTCGTAAGATAAGCCTCGTACTCGCTCCTCAGCCTGCCCACGGATACGCTGACTGGCTCGTCATCGCCTGCTTCTGAAGAAAGTGCCAGGATGCCTTGAAGAAGGTTTGCAAACTTTTGTGTGAGAGGTGTTGGCGCCGTGGAGGTAGCCGTGGAAGAGCTGGAGCCAAGTAACGCCGCACCGGTCGAAGGCCGGCCGGGTAGGGATGTAGTGACTTTCTGGAGCGAGGTGCAATGCATGTCCAGAACCTGCTGGAACCTCGGCCAGAGTAGCATGTTGGTTGCGTTGATGTAGCCTTCGACGGTTGGAACCTTTCTACGTTGCAGCTCGAATGCAAAGTGCTGGTTAAGTCGTACGCACAGCAGTATACCGAGCGTGTCTGTTGTCGCTTCTACGAGCGACTTTGTAACCGCTTGGCCGACTGCTAGCGTAGGCTCGAAGATCGAGTTGAAGGTTCGCGAGATGGCGTGGAAGTTCTGTGATGGGGCGAAGTATGTAGAGATGAAGGTGTACTCGAAACATGCGTTGTCGACAAGTGCGAGGTTGAAGCTGCGGAAAGGGACCTCTAGGTAATGCGGCGACTTCTCGTCTTCGGCAACGTTCGCTGGCAAGGCATTGACAGAGGAGCTCTTCAGTGCGTCGCGACGTCGTCCAAGAGAGAAAGCATCGTATGCAACTGGTGCGTTTCGAGACTGACCGAGCAGAGTTCCAGCTCTTCTCGCACTGGGATCTTCGCCCAGAACATCGTACCTGTCCATAGCATGTACTTTGATCTTTTCGAGCGCCGTTCGGTATCGGCTGAAGTGGTTGAGGTAGTACCACCGCATGGTATATATGTATGCCTGCGCTATCTGTTGTGCAAGCTCTGTCTGGTGTTTCGCAAGGAAAGAATACAAGTCTTTGTATTTTAGGAACGCTTGCTGTTGGATGATCTGCGCATTGATGGAAGGTGAACGGATGGCCTTGATCTGCGCGACTATGTAGTCTCGTATTCGTTCAATGGCGCGGTTTATGAGATCATCCAGCAGTGGCTTGACGTCCTTTATGGCCATCAAGTCTGGATGCTCCTTGGCTTTATCGTTGACTGTTTTGGACCGTTTTTCGACTTCTGCAAGGGCGCGCACGAAGCCATCGTCGACCGGACCTTCAGCGATCTTGCGCACGACAGTTGGTGATATGCTGATGTCTTCGACCGCCGGTCCCAGGAGCTTCTCCACCACTTTTCGGTTTTCCAGCTTGGTGTTCAGAGCAATAGACCGGTTCTGGAGTGATTCTATCTCTGCAGACACGGCCTCGAGATCCGACTGAAAGTTTGTCAGGTTTGCTTCCACCGACTTGAGCACCTCATCGCACGCCAATATCGACTTGTGTAGATCCTCAAACTTGTCTTTGTCTTTGTCATCTGCAAGCACAATGAGCAAAGACCTGGGACTCTGAGCATGAAAACATACATTCTTCGACTGACTGTGCGCTATATGTATGTACAGAAGTGGGCTGCTGTCGCTCTACGGTCCTGGCCGCTGCGAAATCGTGCAAGCTCAGGTCCCCAAAATCAATATCCTCCTCTACCACTTCCGGCTTCTCCGATACACGCGTCGAGTCTTCCCCGTTTGTAGCAGGCGAGTTGCGCGGTGGTCCTCCCATAATTGACTCTAGCACGTGTATGGGATCTGGCACGTTGGGGGGAACACCCCCTGTCTGGCGCCTACGTGGCCCGCCATTTGGTATGCGTGCGGATAGAGGCAGGCTCGCAGTCGAAGCATTGGGCGATATGAGGGGTGTCAGCGAAGACGATCGCGGATTCAGCCCCGGCCTCACGGGTTGCGCGGGCGCTGGATAGCCCCTTCGAGGGGCCGGCGAGTACGAGTCGCGTCGTGGAGGCGGCGTGCCGGTGGGTGTCGAGTACGAAGAGAGCCTGTCTAGACCCCACATGATGCCTACTGGTTCGCAATCAGTTCAAGGGTGCATGCTAAGAATCAAACACGAATAGCGAGCTCTGAGGGAAGCAGTCGGCCACCTGGATTCACATAGCAGCGCCCGGCGATTGTTTAATCCGCGAACTAGACAGGGATCCGCTAGCGCCACCTTCCCCTCCGCGCCTGCCCAATTTTGCCCACGCAAAAGACTTCTCTCTCCATCTCCATTTAAGGACACTGCCCACCCCACTGCCCTTCGCCCAGCAGCCCGAACTCAGCCTCTTCCTCCCCGTCGCATCCAACTCTCATTCATCACCATGGCGGACAACGACGCGCAGGTACGTCCCTCGGAATCCAGCCCCGCATGTGCTCTTTACCCCACCCTTTGGAGCACTGTCGCCAGCTGCGCTCCAGCTTCGCACGCTCTTGCGCCCCGTACTGACGCTGCAAATTATAGCATGAGCACACTTTCGACTCCGCTGATGCGGGTGCCTCGCAAACCTACCCCATGCAGTGCTCTGCCTTGAGGAAGAATGGTTTCGTCTGCATCAAGAACCGCCCTTGCAAGATCGTCGAGATGACCACCTCCAAGACCGGAAAGCACGGCCACGCCAAGGTCCATCTGGTCGCCATTGACATCTTCACCAACAAGAAGCTCGAAGAACTCTGCCCCTCCACCCACAACATGGACGTTCCCAACGTCGCCCGTCGCGAGTTCCAGCTCGTGAGTGGCCCATAACGATCCAATGCGAAGCCTAGACTAACGTGGCAATTAGCTCGACGTTACTGACGACGGTTTCCTCTCCCTCATGTCCGACGACGGCTCCACCAAGGACGACGTCAAGGTTCCCGATGGTGAAGTTGGTGACAAGATCAACAAGATGTTCACCGAGGATGGCAAGGACACCAGTAAGTCACACTCGGAAACGGTGACTTTGGGTCATGCTAACATACCACCAGACGTCATTGTTCTTACTGCCATGGGTGAGGAGGCCTGCATCGACGCCAAGGAGGCTCCCAAATAAGCGCATCGCTCAATACGTAGACTGTTTGGCAGGAAGCAAGGCGCGAATTCCAAACAGATTACAAATGGGGCTGCAACACTCTTTGCATATTGCGTGCAAAGTTGTAGCTCTGCGGCAAACGTAGCATTCTCCCGTGCGATTTGCACTAGGCGACCAATGCACGAGGTTCTTCGGACGGTTTTGGGTTCTTTGCATTGCCATGTCTGGGAAACGTATTACGATTCATTTCCCTTCCTAGATATATACCTTACGCTTCTGGCAATGAATAAAAGGTGATGACTTTACGGCAAATGTCGCGTTCCTCATTGGTAGAAAATTCGTGTGACTGGTTGCCGGATCCGCGCTAGTCGCCGGCGAACTTCTCTCTTGTGTATTCTTGAGCATAACGACTATAACATCAACGCAGCACTCAATCCCATCTGTCTGACTTGCGGCCTGGTCACCTTGGTATATTGCACCGACCTTCTTTGTGCTTCTCTGTATCGCCGAATCCATTCAAGCCTCGTGCATGTCGACTAAAGGCCCCGTTTGTGGCGTCGAAAACTGCCGGTCTAGACGCTACGAAGTGGGTGAAGACGGCTTCTTGTATTGTCAGAACGGCCACCAACAGGCTGGCTTAGTCCGCGGAGAAGATGACGATGACTACGTAGGAGCTGCCCGAACAGTCACGCGCAAGAAGAAAGAGACGGAAGATGACCCCAAATCCACCGGCAAAATCTACAAGGGCGCCCGAGGTTTTGATTTATACTTGAAGTGTCTACAGCTTGTCTTGCGACACCAACTTTGGTTCCTCGTCAAGGACCAAAGATTGCCCGTGGAGCTTGAAGCAGTCACACGCGATCTCTGGTCACTGCGTATTGCTCAACTTGGAGACCGAATCGCGAGTCATGATGAAGAGTCCTCAGACTCCCAGACTCAACAACTTTTCAGCACCATGGAGAGCGAGGATGATGCCACAGATACTGAGAAGGGCCATCTCAGAGATACCAAGGGAAAGAGGAGCATGAGATTGTCCGCCGCACCCAATCTCAATGATTGTCTAGTCTCGTGCTACCTTGGTATCTTGACACTAAGACTGCCGTTCACGCCAGGCGATGTCTACGCATGGGTCACCGACGGCAAATTAGCATATCGCAGAGCAATCAAGACACTGCCACTCGCCATGAGAGATCGACTGTCACCTGCCTACCGTGCTGTTCTCGATCCGAGCGCATCGCTTACTTATACCCGATTTTACAAGACGCTCACAGACCTACAAATCAGCTACAGCAAAGACCACGGCATCACTTGGCCAGCTCTGAACGTGCCGCTCCTGCTGTTTCGCTATCTGAAAGAGCTTGCTTTGCCACTGGAGCTATATGATGCAACAAAACGACTCGGCGACTTGCTCGGCTATGACTTTGCTCCTCATTACGACGGTAAGAAGCGTCTGAGTATACGGCATCTCGCTGAGTCGCAACTAGTGAGCTGCCTCGTCATATGTATCAAGGTACTTTATCCTCTCGACGATGAGAGGCGTTATCCGAAATCATCTTCCGAACCAACAGCGGCGACGATGAACTGGGAAGTATGGCGGGAGCAGATGAAGTCCGCGGAGGAAACGAGGCGAGGAGCCAGGGGACGTTTCAATACCGAGGAGTTGACAAAGGTGCAGGAGAAGGATGTTCTCATGATGGGCCCCGAAGAGATGGATCAGTATCTGGATTTCTATGCGACCGCCTATCTGGATGATGCCGAAATTCAGCGCACGAGGGATGCTGATGACTTCCGACATGCGCTGTACAATATGTTCCCTATCGATACTACAAAACATCATCCCCCACAGGAGGCATCCCATACTTTACCTTTGAACAAAAAAATGGAGGTTATAAAAGTGGTTCAGGGCGCAATGGAGACAGTCCCAGTGGTAGTCGAGGAGAACACTGAGGTACTTAGGATAGGGCAGGCATACCCGATTTGGAAGACGGAAGAAGATATTCCTGATGTAGCAAAAACGCTGTACAGAGAAGCTGCAAAGATCGCAGGGCTATCGATGAATATGCTGATATTAGCAGTCGGTTCCACGGAAGCAAGGGTTGAGCAGTGGAAGAAGGCACAGAAGAGGCAAGCTTGAGGTCGCTACGTGCATGTAATGATATCAATCCAAAGCTTGAGTATCACATAATAAACAGCTGTCGTCATTGAAATTAATGTACGCTTGATGCGCCAGTTTGGAGTGCTGGAAGGCGTCACACGTGAGGGGCGCATGACGCGCGCTAACGCTTACCGGCCTAGCATGGGTGTCTGTGCGCGCACACAGTGTGGAATTCGTCTACCACTTCCGCCCTCAACCTCGATACTGAGATCACGGAACACCGCAACACCGCCAAAGATGCAGATCTTCGTGAAGACCCTGACGGGCAAGACCATCACGCTCGAAGGTATATCTCGGATGCACGAATTGCAATGGGACCCGCGCTGACTTGTTCGCAGTTGAGAGCAGTGACACCATCGGTACGCACACCCTCAATGCCACTCGACGGCAATACTTCGCACCGCACCGCGCCGCATCGCATCGCATCGCCCGCGCTTGCAAAATGTGTAGAAGAGGGAGGATAGAAGCTGACAGCGGGCAGACAACGTCAAGTCCAAGATCCAGGACAAGGAGGGCATTCCCCCGGACCAACAGCGCCTGATCTTCGCCGGAAAGCAGCTCGAGGATGGCCGCACTCTGTCCGACTACAACATCCAGAAGGAGTCCACCCTCCACTTGGTCCTCCGTCTCCGTGGTGGTATCATTGAGCCTTCGCTCAAGGCCCTTGCCTCCAAGTACAACTGCGACAAGATGATCTGCCGCAAGTGCTACGCACGCCTACCACCGAGGGCTGTCAACTGCGTACGTCATGACAAGGATATTGTTCCTTGAACTGGAACGGACAGGCTATAGGACTTTACTAACAACATCACAGCGCAAGAAGAAGTGCGGACACACCAACCAGCTCCGCCCCAAGAAGAAGTTGAAGTAAACTACTCGCCTCTATCGGCGTCTGGCGAAGGGACAACGGAGTCGGTGGAAACGAATTGCAACGATTGCATGCGATGGATATGAGGGCTAGGTCGCTACTACTTCTTCCACGGCACATGGCATCAATGGCGTGCTTGTCTTGTCTCGCATCTGAGACTTTATGAAGGGAACCAGGCATGTAGAGTGAATCGATCAAATTCAAACACCACCAGCTTCGACTCTATTGCTAGCCATATAGCTACATCGTGTTGCGCATGTTCGATGGTCTTGCAACATGTCACGTGAGATCGCGTCATGAGCGTATTATCCCGGGATGTATGACGTCACCGATCATACAGCACAGTGTTCAAACGCCAAACGCCTTGGAACGCACTGATGAACCTCAACTCTTGAACTGCGATGCTCAATATTGTATGAGCCTTGAGATTTGAGACCAGAAGGCCATGGCCGCATGTTACGTATAATCACATCAACATGCCAGAGTTTTTGGATTTTCGTTGGATTTGATCGTAAAGAACATTGGATATACAAGTACACAGATTTTTCTTCCTCGCATACTAAACACTCGTAGATATGAAACCTAGCGTCTTCTCCACCGTTGCTGATGATCGTCGCGATAAGTACCGTGATGCCGGGCCGTAGTGCCATCTCTCGACACAGTTCCCCATTCGTCACTCTCACCGTAGACCAAGAGCGCCACCGAGAATGTAGAGCAGACGCCGATCCAACAAATGTTTCGTATCCAGCAGGTAAAAGGAAGTACACATCATCTCTTGCTTGGAGAAGAGCGTACGCGTAAACAAGAAAAGGGTAAAAGTCGAAACTCCGAGATACAACGAGGAGCGTGGAAATGGTATCGTAACGCCTCGCTATGCATATAAAAACAGGGTAGAATTCAAGAAGTATGGGTAGTGTACGCGCGGTCGATGGAGAGCTGGGCGGCGGATATGTGCTGTCTGGTGTGGTTGCGGCGGTGGCACGAACGCAAAAGACAACAACGGGTATAGTTGAAGAGAGTTTGCCATCTGGGGTGGCGTGGGTGATGCTAACAGGGAGCTGCTTAGACACGAGGCTTCTTCCAGTAATATTGCTATGAATGGTTAGCGATTAATCTTTAGGAAGACATTGTTGAACAACGGGTATGGGGGCTGGTGAGTGTGACGTACCTTGTGTGTCTTCCTTACAGACCGTAGTCCAGTGCTGCGTGTACCAGCGGTGATGGTTTCACGCCTCATTTGGTTGGTGTCCATCTCAGGGACATAGTAAAACTCGTTCTCCAGCGGCTGACCAGCGGCGTCTTTGCCGGCACGGGGAATCTCACCGACACAAGGTGTGTCGTCCAAGATCCTCTTCAGCTCTTGCCTAGAGAGCTGGGGAAGAGGTGTGGATGCGCCATTGCCCTCTTCATCCTTGCCGTCTGTGCTCTTAGTCGCACAAGCCTTCAATTCGGCGGGGAGGTTGCTGTGGATGGCGGAGAGTGGCTGCGAGTGGATACGAGAGAACGCCAACTGGTTGATGACATGGTTCTTGATGGGTGACTCTTTGAATCGGATAGGCTCGGTAACTCGACGTTTGGGAGACGGTGATAGTAGTGGTCCGCGCATACGGGGAGCGTTGGACTGTGTTGGCGTAGCTGTGTTGAAAGAGGCCATGCCGTTGAGCAAGTTCTGACCGAAGGGTCCGAATGAGTGTACAACAGGGTCGTTCTCTTCGTCATTGTCGGAGAAGTCGTCGGCAGCGAAGTTGACACTCTCCTTGGGGTCGATAACGGGACGAACTTCATGACTGGACCTGGAGCTTGGGAGAGAGGGACGGATAAAGGTCTGATCTGCAGAGCCTGGGGTCTTGACGCCAGGGCTGTCTACACTTGCATCGGCGTCTTCGAACACTTGAACAGGACCGGACTGGGCGTTTGAGCTGAGGCCCGCGAAGACAGGAGGGCGGATAGGGCTTTGAGAGACAGGCGAACGTGGAACGACAGGAGGGCTAGAGGCTAAGTTCTCCTGGGTACGCGTACGAGTCGGGGTAGGCATGCCTTCTTCCTCTGATTCCCAGGAGAACTTTGATACAGGGATGGTCGGCCAGGCAATCATGACGCGGGTATCCTGTACATCCAACATGATGGCCGTCTCTGGGTTCTCTGACATGTAGGTATCTCCTTTGCTCAGCTCGAAGATGCGTCCCTTGCAGTGGATCTTCGCACCGTTCCATCCCAGACATTCAACCTCGATGTAGCCGTGCGGGTATGGTGGGCTTGGCGCGTGGTAGGCAGCTTGGACGTGAACGCGTGAGATGAGGCGGTTGGTGGAGAGCTGGTAGTCCGAAGTATTGGAGCTGCGGCCCATTCTCACGACCTCGCCATCTGCGGGGAGGTCGACGGTGGGCACAGCACCGAGTGGGGTCCTCTCTGACAGAGCAGAGAAGGTTCGCTCGAAGCCCGGCCGGGCATGGCGGGGCGACGAGGAAAGAATGTTGGTCGACGACGTGGGCTGGGGAGTCGGGTAGTACTTCAGCTGCTTGGGAAAGGTGGGCGAGTCCTCTTCGAACTTGCGTTTCGAGGACGTTGGGCGTGGAAAGGGCGACGAAGAGAATGGCCCATCTTCGCCGAAGGCCGGAAGAAGCGTTGGGGTGGGCTTCCGAACATGGCCCGACTGCGTCTCTGTCGACTCGATGAGGGACTGCGGCATCGCCTTGCTGGGTGAAAAGTCCATCTCGTGTGGGGAGCTCCTAAGACGCGGTGCTGCTGGCGTGTCGAGGTCTATGGGGTAAGGTGGACGTGTCTCGAAGGAGACGGGCAGGCCGGCGGCTGCAGAAGGAATGTTGAGAACGCGAAGATTGACACGAGGCGGTATGGGAAAAGAAAGACGTCGGTTAGGAGGAGGAGGCCATGAGGTCAATTGCGAAACTACGGGTCACGAACGCGATCATGGAAGACGTCGCGCACGCGGGTGTGGGTTGGCTAGCGTGATGAAGCTAGGACCGTCGTAAGAACCAGCACCCGAATTCACCACGCATTCCTCCCTTGCAATACGCCTTTTGTAACATGCTTTCAGATACAAGATGCCCTGCGTGTCTCAGCTAATCCGATTGCGTTCTTTTCTGGGCTTTTGCAGCGCTTCTCCGCTATACATATCCCAAAGTTCAGTCACGTCGGCCACATCCGTTTCCCAGCCTCTGTGCACGAGCACAATTATTACGCCTATGACATACATTCTGTCCTCGGCTGCCACTTTAACTTGGATTTCTCCGCCCTGCCAGCCCCTCTGCACTGCAGCCAATTCCACATTAATCTGCAATCATTGGTAATATCTACGCGCTGAGACGAAATCTTTCACACTTGCTGCTGCTCTAATGTCATACAATTCAGTCATGGCAAAGCTCACGACTACGTGAAATGAAGTGAATACTCCAAGAGCAATCTACACGCAGGCACTCAACGCGTACCGAGATCTTGATGTACTACGCGTTCTTGGGCAGCGATCGAATGGACCCACAGTCGTACGCCAATATCCAGATGGAGGTGAAAAGAAAAACTTTGTGCAGCAATCGACGCAGCTAACGCGAGAGCAAACACGTTCGTAACCAAAGTGGAGCGGTAGGGCCGACGGACGCGCGACAGCGATATAGACGCGTCGTGAAAGATGGCCAGGCGAGCGCACGGTGATGGCGTTTCGGCTGGACCGTGTCCGGACTGGCTTCGATTAATCGATAACGAACTTTTGTCTCGTGTGGGCAATCCAATATAGAGTTGATAATTGCTGCTGCGTCTACGAAATCTTAATGGTCCAGTCCACGAGGAGTGAACATATCGCATCCACGTGACGGGCACAATCGACCTTAGGATGATAGCTTGTGTACCCCTGAAAGCACATTGACGCGCTGCTCGTGAAACAACTGACGGCATGGGGACAAGGACTGAAATTGAAATCCATCGGCTGGAGACATTGCAAGGGTGAATAGCCTGTCGTGTGCTTGAGGATACTGCGACGCGACGATTGGCTCTGAAGAGCCCCGCATTCGACTTCGGGACTTCGGAGAAACTATGGCGCCGGCAAAAAGTTCGAAGGGAAAGTTGGGACAAGGGTCTAGCCCAGAATTTCCAGCGACCAGCAACATCGCACCATATCACAGCAACAATGGCCAAATCCAAGACCCTTACCAAGAAGGTTGAGAAGGCGCCCGAGGCGGCGCTCACTACCAAAGCCACGAATGGCACGCCCTACCAGCTCGACCCGTCGCAAGTCGAGCGCGCGGCGAAGGCGCTCGTTGCGCATATGAAGAAACACGTCGAGGACAAGAAGGAGGAAGCCCCCAAGAAGAGCTTGGCGGCCGATGAGGACGAGGCGGAAGAGGTCGACGAGCCCATTTTTCTCAGTCTGGCAACGAAGAAGCAGATTGGCAACACCAAGAGCATGAAGCCTCTCGCAATGTATGTTCGCGCATCGCAGCGCTTGCGCCACACCGCTAATACATACCAGCAAGCTACCTCATCCCATCATTGCAAGCGATGTACGGATATGCATCTTCACAAAAGACCCGCAAAGAGCGTACAAAGACCTCGTCGCATCCTACGCTTTCCCGGCTGCCCTTCGCGGAAAGGTGCAGCGTGTGCTCGGCGTAGACAAGCTGAAGAAGCGATACAAGGCATTTGAGCAGAAGCGCGCGCTTCTCGCCGAGTACGATGTTTTCATGGTCGACGATCGTATTATCAAGATTGTCGCAGAGTGCCTAGGCAAAGTCTTTTACAAGAGCAAGTCAAAGCGCCCCATTCCAATCCGCCTTACAGCTGGCGCATACATCGACAAGAGCGCAAAGAAGGACAAGGATGCGAAGGAGTCTCAAAATGTGGTCGGCACACCGCAAGGTGTAGCAAAGGAGATCGAGTCTGCTCTCAACTCGACCTACCTCAGCATGAGCCCCTCCGCCAACACATCTATCAAGGTCGCCAACCTCTCCATGACCCCTCAACAGATTACCGAGAACACTACTGCTGTCGTGTCCGAAGTCGTTAACAAGCACGTCGGCCAGGGCTGGCGCAACATTCGCAGTCTGCACGTCAAAGGCCCCGCGACCAAGGCCCTCCCCATCTGGCTAGCTGACGAACTATGGACTGAGTCTGAGCAAATCCTTGACGGACCTTACCACAAAGCCATCACAGAGGGCACACCAAAGGGCAAGTCTGCGGAGCGCAAGAGGAAGTGGGATGAGTGGGAGGAGGAGATGCTCGACGATGAAGAGCTCGCCGCGAAGCAGGCCAGGAGAGAGGCTAAGAAGGCTAAGAAGACGGAGAAGAAGAGCTCTATCAGCAAGGAGAAGCGAAAAGCCATGAAGCAAGAGGCGCTTCAATCCGTGCAGACACCGTTGATCGCTGGTTAAACTATTTATTACAGGCATCATTGCATGGCACGGCGCAATGTGGTGTTGGCGTTCCGGTGTTCAAAAGATCCGTTTGATTACACGATAGTATACCACCGGTCGGCACATAGCAATATAGACTCTGTGCAACTGTTAGAATGTTCCTTTGCTTCCTATAAAGTTCAATGACAGCCTTGATTATACTGTATGTTTTTGCGTGGACGTAGAAGCTATGGAGAGCTATGACCATGTCCGGTTGTACCTGCCTCGGCTTGATACCAACGTCATACAACGCCGCGTAGATCAGTGCGCGTCTCACATACTCTCAGCTTGCGCCTCTCGAACCTCCACCTCCCATTTTCATTCCACCATCGCCAAAATGCTGCACTTACTTCCAATTTCGACGTTCCTACTCGTGACGCAGGTGATCGCGTCACCACTCGCACGCAGCGATTCCAAGCCCCTCCCACTGCTCATCTGGCACGGCTTAGGCGACAACTATGCCGCAGACGGCCTGCATAGCGTAGGCGACCTCGCAAACGAGACGAACCCCGAAACATACGTATACTACATTCGCCTTGATGAAGATGCTGGAAGCGATCGAACAGCCACATTCCTGGGCAATGTTACAGAGCAGATTGCGCAAGTCTGCGACGACATCGCAGAACACGAGGTTTTGAGCAAAGCCCCAGGCCTCAACGCGCTTGGCTTTTCGCAGGGCGGTCAGTTCCTCCGTGGAATGATAGAGCGCTGTGGCGACAGAATCAAAGTCAAGAACCTGGTCACGTTTGGTAGCCAACACAACGGTATCGCAAAGTATCAGCTTTGTAAAGATGGAGACTGGCTGTGCAAGGGATACATCGGGTTGCTCAAATCCAACACCTGGGGCGCATGGGTGCAGGGGCATCTGGTTCCAGCGCAGTACTTCAAGGCCACGAATGAGACGACTGGAGAACCCACGGAAGAGTATCTCGAGTCCTCCAACTTCATCGCCGACATCAACAACGAGAGGGTGCTGAAGAACGTCACCTACGCGAAGAATCTTGCTGCGCTAGATAACTTTGTCATGTACGTGTTCGAGGACGACACCACTGTCATACCGAAGGAGTCTGGCTGGTTCGCGTACACCAACACTACCAGCAATGAGGTCACAGATCTGAGGGATCGTGATATCTACAAAGAGGATTGGATTGGGCTCAAGAAGCTGGACAAGAAGGGTGGTCTACACTTCAAGACGACCAAGGGCGGACACATGGATCTTGGTGAAAAGGTCCTGAAAGATGTTTTCAAGACCTATTTCGCACCAGAGAAGACATTATGGGATGGGATGGTGAATGAGGTTCAAGAGATAATGGAGTTGTAGAATGGGAAGTCATATGGCTAGCCCCACTGATGGTAACATGGAAGAGGAGTTAGATTGAATCTATATGTACGATTACACGCGCAGGTGCTACGAACCATCATAATTTTACGTTTCTGTCTCAGATCGGATATTGGGTGCCACACCACATTGTCTGCTCAGCAAAGGATCAATAGCGGTCACGTATCCAACGATGCTGGAACTTGATCGTTAATTGAGAACATTTGTATGTGATTCACTGTCAACAGCTTTAGAATGTGTTTTGAAGCACAAGGTATTCAGGTCGAAAATAACACGAAAAAGTGAGCTATTCCGTCGCCTCCTACAGCGGATGATCGGAATCGGACATTTTCTACACAACATTAAAAGCAACGACGCCAACCAATAATCCTGAGATTAGTGCTCCAATCATCGCGCATTCTTGCACGCACCTCCCCTCCCCCGACCGGGGTTTTGCGGCAGACGTCATGTTTGGGTGGGTCATCATGAGCATCAGCCCACAGCAACACTCCACGCCGACGCCGGTCGAAACGAGCCTAGTCTTGGTCTCTCCATGCTTTAAATACTCCAAGTCTCCCCAGAAACTTCAATTGACACGTCTCGCCCATCGCGGCTCCTCTCCACTCAATAATCTTATTTCACGCCTGCGCTGAGCTTGACGCTCAACGAACAACTATAGGCTTATCGATAAGCTACTAATCAGATCACGATCGTCACAGCGGAAGAGAAAAACAACAGGAAGCAAAGATGTCGGTCTCAGCAGCATTGAAGAGCCGGGTCAGGAGGCCAAGTTATCTCAAGAAGATTGCGAAAGCTGAGGATTTGCTTCACCACTTCCCCAATGGAGCATACATTGGCTGGAGTGGCTTCACGGGTGTCGGATATCCAAAGTAAGCATTTTCACTTCTTTCACGCTACGTTGTCAGCCAAGCCATGAGGCTCTTCGGGTGCTCAAGGTAGCCCTGACTACGGTGTACGGTGTCGGACCTACTTGGTAGTTCGATCTTGGATCCCGAGGTGGAACGGAAGTTTGGCAAGTGACGAAAGCCGAGCTATCTCCGGCTCCACAATTCGACCTGCGCATGGATCAGGTCGTAACGAGTAAATCAAGAGCCTTGGCCATGACTCTCGCCATACATGCCTTGATTTGAATGGTCTTGTCTATTGCGTTGGTTAAAGTTTTAGACTAACAGCATGGCAGGAAGATCCCTACGGCCATGGCCGACCATGTCGAGAAGAACAACCTCCAAGGTCAGCTGAAGTACAATCTCTTTGTTGGTGCGTCGTCAGGCGCAGAGACTGAGAACCGATGGGCACGTCTCAACATGATCGAGCGCCGGTCGCCGCATCAAGTCGGTAAGGAGATTGCCAAGGGTATCAATAACGGCAACATCAACTTCTTCGACAAACATCTGAGTATGTTTCCTGTCGACTTGATGTATGGGTATGTACAAACGCGCAAAACTCCACGAAGAGGAAACGATGCTGAATCCGAGTAGCTTCTACACATTGAACAAGCCCCACAACAAGCTCGACGTGACCATCGTGGAAGCGTCGGCCATTACCGAGGATGGTGGAATCATTCCAGGAGCCAGTGTTGGCGCATCACCCGAACTGATCCAGATGGCCGACAAGATCATCATCGAAGTCAACACCGCAGCTCCCTCTTTCGAAGGCTTACACGACATCACCATGACTGATCTCCCGCCACGCCGAAAGCCTTACCTCATCATGTCCCCAGAAGATCGTATCGGTACACCACACATTCCTGTTGATCCAGAGAAGGTTGTGGCTATTGTAGAGAGCGACTACCCCGATCAGACCCAGCCCAACGCCGCCGAGGATGAAACCTCAAGGGCTATTGCTGCAAACTTGATTGAGTTCCTGAAGCACGAGGTCAACCATGGCCGTCTGCCAGAGAACCTCCTACCTATTCAGTCTGGTATTGGAAACATTGCCAACGCTGTTGTTGGTGGACTTGCCGTATGTTCTCACCTTTTTGAATGATTGATGCTCCATGCTGACAGACACAGTCCGGTGGCGCAAACTTCAAGAACCTCAAGGTATGGACTGAAGTCCTCCAAGACTCCTTCCTGGACCTCTTCGACTCTGGCAACCTAGATTTCGCGACGGCAACTTCAATCCGGTTCTCTCCCGACGGCTTCCACCGCTTCTACGAGAACTGGGATCGCTATGCGCCCAAGCTGCTACTCCGCTCTCAGCAGGTCTCCAACTCTCCTGAGATTATTCGACGTCTCGGTGTCATTGGCATGAACAC